ACAGAGTGATCTTTGTTGCATGATCAGTTTGCAAGTAACTTAGATTGTTGTCCTTTTGTCATTAGCTCACCAGGCTGGAAGAGGAGAAATTGAGCCTGAATAAAACCATCTCTGAACTTGCAACCAGCAAGGAAACTCTGTCTAAAGAAGTAGAAGAACTCTTAGCAAAGAATCAGTCATTAGAGAAAAAACTGACTTCAAGCAAGGGGCAGGTATGAATAAAAATCTTGTTAAAGGAGCTAGGTCTAGGTTTTGCATCTCAAAAAGTTTAGCCTAAATTTTTCAAGTTTGTCATTTGTAATCCATGTCAGTGTTCTCCATCCTTCACCATCCTTGTTCCCTTATGGTTTATTGTTATCTCTTTGGTGATTTGCCATCTTAGTAAACTACTATTTTCAGGTTTCCTTCAGTATAAAGAGGATCTCTTTTACATGGCCACAATAATTGAAAATGTGTTGATTGAGCTCCTTTAAGCTAAATTGTTTCCGTTGTTCTTATCTGAAGATTTGAAAAATTGACATTCCCAACTGACTGTCATGTATTTCTTTAAAATGTTAGATATATGAGGGTTTGGTATCTCACCAAGATTATGTCCCATGCTGATAATTTTCCTTATTCCCATACTTGAGTATCAACTGATCAGCGTAGCGAAGGTTTGACTTTGTTGTAAAACATTTTGTTTTTCTTTCACTCTTTTCAGCTTGCTCATTGTGAAGAGGAACTCAATGAGTCCAAAGATCTCAATGCATTTCTCCAGGATCAGATTGACGAAATCAAGATGCAGGTAATTCATATTAATTCTTGTGCTGACTGATTTGAGGGAGAGAAGAAGGGGGCAGTACTAATCAATAGGTAGTGTCCATCATATAACTAAACGAGATGTCTCTATTTTAATGACTGTCTTAGTTATTGTAAACGGACAGACAAGGCACAAACCAAAGCCCTAACAGTATATATTTTTAGAACAAACTAATATAATTTTCCACTCCTATACCCCTATTACCCCTAAAGTGGTCCTTGGTGGCACTTGTGTCAGACCAAAATGACTTATATTAATTCGGTTTTTACGCACGTTTGCAAGCAATTTCTATTTTCAAGGGTATACCCTAACATTTTCGTGTTTCTTTTGTTTGTTTTTGCCTCCTACTCAACCAGCATAGAATGTCGCTTTTAAAGGACAAAGTTTAGCCTTCTAGTCTAGGACAGGTGGGACTATGGGGGACGAAGGGCTGTAAAAAGAGATAAGTAGTTTCTATTTGTTCTGCTGGGTCCTTAGTATGTAAAATAGTTTTAACCACATCCTTTAGTGAAGTGAAGGGTTTGAAGTACTGTAAACTTCCGTTTACGTCAAATCAGGTCAAAAGTTCACACGAAAAAGACAAATTAGATGCACTCAAGCGATATATCGCTTTGTTTTTTCGTCTGCATCTAGATATCTATTATTTCCTTTGTTTTACAAAGAGGAAATGGTAGGCGTCCGCACGCACGTTATGTTTTTTTTTGTTGGTTATTTACAAAGCCTACAAACGCAGTAGGATTTACGCCTACTACGAAGAGGGCGGAAATCCGACAGGTGGAAATCCATCTACGTTTACAGACTGCCAATTAGTCTGGCGTTGATGATTTCAAGTTTGCGACATAATGGCATGATATTTAAAACATTTACTACAATTTTTAATACAAAGTTGGTCAGAATTGAAAACGAACACGCAATGTGGCTAATGTGCAAAAACTAGCAGGAACCTTTATAAAAGTTTCTACCAAGAAGAACTACTAATGTTTTAGTAAAAGTTCATCGTATGTCTGGTTCGGGCACTCTAAGCTACTTTGGTCAACAATAGCAGTTACTATTAGTTGAAACTTAGCTTTCCCAGTGTCCATTATTCATATTTTGAGAAGTACGATTTAAGAAACATCGAAAATTTGAAACCCTTGGCCTTGACAAATGCGGGAGTGCACAGTACTCGTAAGCTTGTAGTTCTTCTTGGCGTCATAATGTGGCACCTGCTTCTGTTTGGGGGCTTGGGGCATCGATTTTCGTTCAGGGGCGGAATAGGGCGTGGAAAGCCCGAGGGGAACTGTCATATAAATAGGACGGGGATGCTCGTGGTAACTTTTAGGGGTAGAAAAAGTGGTTTTGGTAGCTCCTGTTGTTGTTCCGCCTCAAGAAATCCACAGCGGTAGCTTTCGCGGTATCTTTAAGGGTAATGAGCCGAAACAAATTTGACAGAAGATTATGTGTTGTTTGGAATTGGTACATCTTAGAGGTGAAAACATTTCAAACCACGCCCACAAAACAGGATCTTGGTACTTCTTAGGGGTTTTTTTCAAAATACCCGACGAGCACCCCCGTCCTTTTTATATGGGAGTTCCCCTCGGGGAAGGAAAGAAGAATTTTTTGGTNATTAGGATTTACGCCTGCTTGAACGAAGAGGGCGGAAATCCAACACCTGGAAATCCATCTACGTTTACAGGCTGCCAATTAATCTGGCGTCGATGATTTCAAGTTTGCGACATTATGGCATGGTAGTTAAAACATTTACTAAAACTTTTAATGTAAAGCTGGTCAGAATTGAAAACGAACAGAACTTTTATAAAGGTTTCTACTGAGCCATGGAGAACTACTAATGTTATTTTAACATTTCATATTATGTCTGGTTCGGGCACTTTGAGCTACCTTGGTTAGCAAGAGGAGTTATTATTAGTTGAAACTTAACTTTCCCATTGTCCATCATTCATATTTTGCGAAGTACGATTTAAGAAACATCTAAAATTTGAAGCCCTTGGCCTTGACAAATGCGGGAGTGCACAGTTCTCGTAAGCTTGTAGTTCTTGGCGTCACACTGTAGCACCTGCTTCTGTTTGGGGGCTTGGAGCATCGATTTTCGTTCAGGGATGGAATAGGGCGTGGAAAGCCCGAGGGGAACTGTCATATAAAAGGGACGGGGATGCTCGTGGTAACTTTTAGGGGTAAAAAAAGTGGTTTTGGTAGCTCCTATTGTTGTTCCGCCTCAAGAAATCCACAGCGGCAGCTTTCGCGGTATCTTTAAGGGTAATGAGCCGAAACAAATTTCACAGAAGATTATGTGTTGTTTGGAATTGGTACATCTTAGAGGTGAAAACATTTCAAGCCACGCCCACAAAACAGGATCTTGGTACTTCTTAGGGGTTTTTTTCAAAATACCCGACGAGCACCCCCGTCCTTTTTGTATGGGAGTTCCCCTCGGGGAAGGAAAGAAGAATTTTTTGGTCTGAAATAGGGCAAAGGTTTCAGAAAGCTTGTCGTCAGGGAATACCCCTGGGGATACCCCTGGGAACCAAGTTGTTTTAGACATCTCAGCAGCGTTTTCTCATATCTTTTTTTTGCTTGTACCCGTAGGCATCAATGGAACAATTATCTAGGACGTCATTATTTTCCGAGCTGTCCGATCTGTCCGTGACAGGAGTCGATGATGGAGATCAGAGCAAGGACTCGTCACCAAAAATGGTGAGTGAAAGCTCTATGTCTCTTGTCTCAGGCCGTTACTCTTATTGGTCACGCGACACCTGCTATTGCTAGTGGTCACGCAACACCGCCGCGACAGCTTCCCCTGTGTCCCCTATCTCGTAGTTCAAGCCACTTGCGATTTTCAAGTTAGATCTCATTTGAGACAAAACTTCGGAGTTCACGTTTAACAACTTCGTTCTCTTCCCAGATGGGTGTGGGGCTGAGACCAGTTGCCAGTCTCCACGGAAGTCCCAAGCCTTTACAGGCTTCCTCGTCGATGGGCCTGGGTCAGAGCTCTAACAAGCGCCAGAGGCAGTACAGCAGTATCAGCGATGACGAGTCAGACGACAGTGACCTTGAATACGATGAACACGAAATTGTGGTCGGAGGGGTGACGAGAGATAGTGACTTCTACGCGCAGCTTGAAAAAGAGGAGAAGGCGAACGCTCAGGTAGGACGATGAATCATGATCAAAATATCAAGTCTCCCTACTGATTGCCATTCGTTTTTTCAAATATTAGTTCTTAGAGGTTGGTGGTTCGTTAAGATAATGTCGCTTGTCTGCTTTTTCAAGGCAGCATGGAGAATTTATGTGTGGATCGTCGTGTGAGAATAAAGAACGCGAGTTATTTTAGTTTCCAAGTGATTGTGCAGATAGCTTCAATATTAGGCTTTTCTAGGAAGGAAGAGGAGAAAATAGTCCTTTTATGTCTCCCTACTCTCCCTCTTGTCCTCCTTCCTCCTTTTATTCCCCCTCCAGGTTAAAAGCGCACGTAGCGAGCTATTACATTCGGCCTTGTTCAGTCTCCCGTGGTTTATGTTTTGCGCGTAAAGAAAATTAGAATTTTAGTTACGGAAAAGTCTTGCTATTAAGCGGGTCTTGTTGCTTGTAACTGCTTTCGCTCTCGCAAGTTGAACTGTCAGAATAGGAGCATTTTTATTCTTGTTTATAGAGGTATGTTTCCCTCTTTCCTCTACAGCTGAAAAAGGAGATTTGCGAAGCGCACGATGAATTGCGAGCATTATACGAAGAGCTCCGAAGTTCTCACGCGAGCTCGGACTCAGTCGAAATAGATGATTTGGAGCCCAGTTCTGATTTTAAGCCGGGATGCCTCACGACATTTGTGAAGAATTTTAGAGACGTTTTGGAGCAAATGGTCAGAGATAACAGTACGAGAACAACGGTGAGTTGCTGCAGAATGAAGTTGAACATTATCCGTAGTAAAACTGGCTCAAAGTCTTAACTCTTTACCTGATAATAGTGCGCAAATTTAACAAAAAGGTCTACTCTCCTCAAAGTTCTTCTCAATAGCTTTAACTTGAGTGTTCACACGCTTTTATGTAACTATTACCTAATTTTATTGTTGTAGAATCTAAAACAACAACTATGTAAAGCCCACGAAAGCATCGATAGTCTGGAAGAAAAGCTTGTTGCCGTGAACTCGGAGGCAAAGAAGAGGGCAGACGAAGTCGCTAGTTTAAAAGAGGATTTAAACGAGAGAGACAACGAAATTGAACGCGTAAAAGAACAGAGAAACAAGTTAGCAAAGGGAGAGTGCGAATCACAGCTGGCGTACGATATTATCTACAACGAAGCTGTGCAAGAGAGGCAAAACGCTGTTGAAAGGTAAAGGGCTTGAAAAATGTGTGGAGTCGTTTTAGAGCGGTTTTCCAATTACGGGAAACCAAAACCAAGGTAGACGCGTCTGACCAATCACAGCAAAAGCAAACTGCGGAATGAACCAATCAGAACTCGAAGCGAGATCGTGCAGCCGGTGAAAAGCGCGCGAAAACGCTCGTCAGCCGATCATCGTTGATGTTGGCCTGATTCAGAATGACAGTGAAAACAAAAACAAGCAACAACAACAACAAGAAAACCAAGCAGTTGGTTTAAAAACCACATAACCGCTTATACTGGGTTGTATTGTATAATGTGCGAAGGAGTATTGCTGTGTATATATGGGCCTTATTATAAATACACTTCTTCAGTGAAGTTTTTCGCCTTTGTCGCCTGACATTTGCAATGAAAAACGTTCAACTCTTTTATTTATACGTTGTCCTGAAGTTCATGGCCTAGGAGTAATTTTAGTCCGTTGTTGACCTGTTGTACTTTTTAGAAACAACGTGTTATTTTCCCAAAAAAACCGAATGCCGTTTTGCTTTTAGGGAAAAAAGTATAGCAAAAGAATTAAAGCAGTTTAAAGAAGACAGAGATGAACTCGACCATCAACTGAAGGAGGCCATTGAACAGAAGATTAAGCTGTCAAAACAACTAGAAGACTGGCAGGCAAGTTAACGTTTTATACCCTCCGTTCACTGTTCTTTAAGTTTGGTCTTCTTCCGTACGAGTTAGTTAGTTTCTGTGTTGTACTGGCGAGACTGCACCATACTTTCTAGGGCTTAAAAATTGCATGTTTTGGCAACATTTAGGATTTTTAACATCAATGAGATGGTCCTATTAAGGAATGGTTTGTTTTAGTGGCCCAACAACAAGAAAACATTGTTTCCAAAAAATTGTTCCTTGCCGCGCAAACGGGAAAGTATTTGTGAAAAAAGCAAAATGATTGAAACATAGTTTGCTTTTCGAAAAGAAATAGATGTCGCAACAAAAATTGTTGCATGTACGCCCAAACGGTGGAACGTTTCGCGAAACGGTAGCATTTTCCAGCGTTCAGTAAATTGGCAAAAATAAACGGGCGGAGCGCAAAAAGAAGAGAGAGGCTTGGTGAGAAGAGCGCTTCTATTTTTCGTTCTTCACCCTGACTAACTGAACCCCTATAAGAGGCTAGGGAAATGGTGTTTCCGCAATCATTTTACCTCGCTTGCGGTGGCCTCTACAAGTGGTACTTTGTTATAATATTATTGTGACGACTGACTTTCATTAAAAGATTCTGGTAATCTCTGGGGTTCTTTCAAGGTATACTTCGACAAACATTTATATCTCTGTGGAGGCTTTAGTCCAAGAGTGTCAGAACAGGCTCATGAATACTTTAAGAAGTCGTGCATGGGCCCCTAAAATAACCACATTTATGTTTCTTCCTCTTCAGTTTGATATGGCCTCTTTAATAGACGACCAAGTTCAAAAACAGATGAAAACAGCTGCTAAAGAGCATGATGACAACGCAAGAAGAAGACGGATGTCGGCTTTTGCCCGAACAACTCGTTGGCACTGGAGCGGTGGTAACAACAGACGGCAGAACGTGTTATGATGTAGAAGAAACAGACTACGGAAGAAAGTTCCATGGACTTAACTCGATGTTGGCCATCGTGAAGTGCCGAGTGAAGACTGAACTCCAGGGTTCAATGTCCATCCGACTCCCGTGGGTTTCTACAGCCTCGTTCTCACGGAGACGGCTGCGCGGGGCATGCTTATGGCCTGAGCTTTTAGTTTGGACTTGCCTATTATTTTTTTTTTATCAAGACATATCTATCCTTTATTTATAATATCTATTTAATTGAACAGATCAGATCCTGAAATGTTGACACGGATTATTCTGATAGCTGGACATTTTTGCAATATCTTGTTCGTATCTACCACTTGAAGAGCTTTTTAGTTATCCTAACATTTGTTGGCCAGATACGTCTCGGGTTTGAATTTCTCGTGTCGCTTGTCATCTATCGGTCATCTGGAGATTGACTGACGGCTTAACGATCCATTCTTACATTGTGATGTTCGTACACGTCTCATGGGCGCTAAAAGTCGTCAATTTTTTAACTGGAGGTGTAATAATGTATATTAATGGTAATATTAAATGTAATAAGGTCTCGTTTCTTCTGTACGAAGAGGGCAGAAAGTTTATCGCTCGATTCGTTGTCTAACGTTAAAGCACTTGAAGATAAATTAACATTAAATTATGTGACTCCCAAGAAGTTAAATAAGTTTATTCTGCGAATTGCGAACTTTCTAGAGAATATAACTATAAAGTGTTTGGCAGTGTGTGTAGATTTTTCATTAAATGTACATAATTAAGTCTGACGAATACTTGTGTTGCGATATAAATAAGACTGTAAACGAGTTCTTGGGGATTTATTTAATTAAACCGATGCTAAGATGTCGCAGTCTTTCTTTTTTCTTACCGCACTAGTATTTAGGTAAATTTAATGGTTTTCTTTTTATTAAGCTAAGCTTAAAAGTATGGGTAATGGTTAGCTTAACCTTAATCGTAAATTTGATTTAATCTATGTAGATAAGTTAGCGACTCTTGCTTGTTCTCCGCTAGCAGAATCTTTGAACTAAGGTCGTCACTTTATGGTCTGCCAATCTTCTGGAATTAATTAAGGACTTGTAATAATTACAACTAATATATGCAACGTTTCAAAAACACTGCACACAAAAGTTTAGTCAGTCCATCATACGTCTAGAAAGTGGATATGAAATTGCTGGAAGATTTATGGTTGTGAAAAACTTAGTTTTATCAAAAGAGGTAAAGAAATAAAAGGAGTATTTTGACAGTGAGTGGCTGTTTGTCTTCAATGCTTGCATCCTTAGACGAAAAAAACGAATTTGCGTTGCGGGCAGCGCCTTACTTCTCACCAGAATTTGGCGAAAAGATGAACTCTATTCCTTTGCCTCACGATGGAGTCACTTTGAGATGTTTATCGCGACGTTTCGACTGCTATGCTGCTAGTCTTCATCAGGCGATGACAGTTACGTGTCGTTATTTGTAGCACGATGGTTCGCTGCTATTGATGTATTTCGATCCTCATTAATATTCTGACTTTGTGGCGCTGTTCCCCAGTGAGTCCGCATTGTAACTGACCGGCTGTTGTGCTTTTTGATTGTAGGTATCTGTGCTTCAGGAATTTGGAATGGTTTGAATGGTTGGGCACCAGGCCTCGACTTGATAGAGAGGCTTAGGTCAACTCGAAAATGGGCTATTGCCTGATTACCGCTTGACTTTGGACACTCAATTGAAAACCTATCTAAACCGGTCCGAATTTGTATAAATCTACTAATTTAAAAGACCTTTCTCGAAAGCCATTCTCTTATTGGCTACGCTACTCACTGTCTATTCTGCTGTTCTGTGACTTCGAAGTGTCTGTGAAGAGGATTTAGATGAAGTTTTGAACGACTAGTACGTATATACTGAAACAATTAGCTCAATCTAATTGTTAAATAGAAGTGATAAAAAACACATGAAAAATTGGGCTTTCACTGCTATCCTTTATGGGTTGAAAGAGTGCACCTCGTTGACTAGCACGGATAATTTGATTACTTTACTTCATAGAGCACACGAGTTTTTATATGATGAAACACGAAATATTTTATTGAGTCAATCTGAGTGAAACTTACACAAAAAGTATTTTAATATAACTCTCTACCTATTAAATTTCTGTTCGTAAACGCAGATATCTGAGAATATGACAGACACAATCAAACTAAGCAGGAAATCACTTTCCATCCTCAGTTCATTCATTTCAAATTAAAGCATTTCCTAAAAGCGCTCTTATCCTATGTTTGCCGCGTATCTTGTTGAAACCTCACGTGTTTTCTGTCCAGGGCACTGGGAGCGCTGATTTTTTTTAATCCACCCCTTAAATTCGACTTGAGCGAGCTGGTTTGTTTCCTGTTACCGGGAAGAGACCGGTTTACAACCTGTTTTACCTTGGGGTATCTTTCGGAATTTTCCCTTGAGGTGGGAAGGCGCAACACTCTTGTTTTTCCACTGGCGCGGTTTTCAAGAGCGAGTCGCATCAAGTACGGCTTGCAGGGTTTGGTCGTTTGTTGTTCTACTTCCGTCGATGTTATTCTATCTTGACCAGCGGTCGTGTTAGTAAGCGCTGTTACGGTGACCTTGGTCTGTGGAGATTCTACCCGCACTGGTTCTTTGGAGAAGAGGTTCATTCGTTGCCAGGGCACCGCGGTTTTAACTGGCTTCTCCGTTGTAGGTGGAGTGGGGGTGAAATTGTTTGGAAGCACTGGAACAGACGGTAGATTAGCACTCACAGGGGCCTGGTTCATAGACTTAGGCGACGGCGAGACATCAGGGACTGTAAAATAAGACATAACTAGCATTCTCATACATTTCTAATAACTGCATTCTCATCGCCCTTAATACAGCGACATAATCGTTACCTCTGTTTTCAAGGTAGTGCTGTTTTTGATATCTAATCAGTGAAAACTAGGGTCTGTCCATTTCAAGTGTTTGATCTAGAAATATTGAATTCGAGTTAAAATAGCGAGTCTTACTTTAAACGTCGAGTTATTATTTTTAGGCTTAATATCACTTTGGTTAACGTTAGCCTCAATAGCATTCTTGTTAGCCTAGCTAATTAGCACTGCACCCTGGTCAGCCATATTATCAACTTGCTATTCATAGATAAGGGTGACACTATTTCAGAGTAAAACTTAGAAAAGAAGTCTAAAAATATCGAAAATTTGACTCTTACAAGAAAATCTAACTCGAACTCAAATGAAAAGTAAACAAATGAATAGAAAAGTGATAAGAAAGGAAGGTAGGAAGAAAGACTGGAAGAAAGGCCTTGAGGGGCGATTATGGTTTTGCTCATCGTTACGTTTGTTTGCTGCTTGTTTGAACATGGTCAGTTAAGAAGCAAAATTTTTTAGTCCATAAAAAAGATACAGACTGTAAGAAATCAATTATTTTGATGACGTCATCTTACCTGTGGTTGTCACACTTGCTCTTCCATCGGATGACAGGTGTGTCACGTACTTTCGTACCCTTTGCGTGTTATCCCAGATGTCGTTCCTAGTCTGCGCAGTGCGTTGTGATCCCTGCAGCGCCTTGTTCATAATCACGTATGTTTCGCGGCTAAAGTTGCTGGGTCGGCTCTTGTGTCCAGCCTCTGCAACAATCTGGGCGACTTTTACGGCCAGTTCCTTCTTTTTAGGCATCTTCGTTTGTGGTGAGGGTGTAAAACTTCGAGGACATGGTGTCGAGGTGCGAGGTGGGTCCACATTCGGGGTGTCCCTTCCAGGACTGTCGAGTCTTAAGGACTCTATTGCTGGGGACTTAGAAGCAAGTCTGTAGTCCCTTTTATGCAGGAGCTTAGCAGCAGTATGGGGCTCGGGTGTGTTACCTGAGGAGGCCCATCCATGTTTTGGAACTAAAAACAAAATTCTGAGTTATTTGAAGACCAAAAAAAGCAATACCATCCTTAATCACGGTATATTCGTTGGCATAATTAATAATACAACAGTCCAGCTATAGAAAACATCATGATTTACTGAACTTTGAAAAAATTCAATGGATATATGCGGGAATGGGTCACTTTATTTCCGGAAATTAGCGGATCTTCGTATGATTTGCAACGGAGTATATTCTGGTAAATGTAAAGAATAAGTGTAGCAAACGTGTCAAACGAATAGATCACAGTCTTAGCCATGGCTATTAGTTACCTGGTGTTTTAACTGCACTGCACCGCTCAGGTTGTTTCACAATGGCAATAGTCTCAGGTTTGGCTGCAACCTTCTTTTCTTCAAGCACTTGTTCAATCTCATTTTGAATGGATGACAGTGTTACACGGTTGGTGTCAAGTTTGGTTTGACCGCTGATTGACATTGCCTTAAGATGACAAAATATACACCAAAACATGAAATGATTTGTACCGGGCTTTTATTTTAAAAAATGTTTGTGAGATTATGTTACAGCCGCACTGCATCATGTATACTTGTTCTCGGGGAGTACTCCCTTATATGGGCTATATAGGTATGTGCGGCCCTAAAGGATATGGTTTTTCAGCCGTTTTTGTCACACTGATAGGGTATGTTTTTGTACTCTAGTCTTGATATAGGTATATTTTTTAAGAAGAAGCCACATTTTCATCATTAACAAAAAATCAACAAAAGCCCTTCACAAATTATGTTTACGGCAATTTAACATTGGTCTGAACTAGGGAATTACTAATTATAAAGCAGGTCCGAAACAGGGTTTTGATTTAAGGGTTAGGTCATAAATAGGGTTTCGAATGTTTGGTCAGGTCATAAATAAGGTAAGGAAAATCGCAGATTTTGGTCATAAATAGGGTAAGAGTTTGGAAAGCGGGCCACACACCCCCACACAATTATTTTGGGAGTAACTCCTCGGACTTGTTCAAACGGGAAATTCGCCCAGTTTCTCACCACACTGGTTCTCAGAGCCTCCGTTTCTTTCGGTGATATTTTATAACGAGTAGCCGTGAGGAAGGAATTGCTTTCGCGTTAAAAGAGATCGCTGTTCCTTGCTTAAACTGGCTTAGATTTAGGTATTGTAGCTCGGCATTACAAAACATAGGTCGATCGATGTGAGTCAACACGCTCAAAGAATCTGAATGTCGAATAAGTAGTTTTAAATAATATGCCATTGAAAAAATAGTATCGCAGTTTTAAATAGCGGAAGTTAACAAATTAAGAGCAGGTATTTTTTCTTTTAGAAGTTATTTATTCATACCTTGCTTGCTTCACCAGATAACCAAACGTGATTCAAAATCTGAGGCATGGTTATTCTCTTCCTAGGGTCCCATGCAAGAATGCTACGAATAATTTGCTGACACTCTGACAAAGAGAGCAAAATTGTAACAGTCAATGAGAAAGTGAAGTGGAAAGTAATGTTTTTAACATCGTGATACGAAACGCGCGAGATGAACGCGCGAAAAGAACGCGGGTGTCCGATAACGTGGATGCAAGTGCGTGGGAACACTCTCGCGTTGTTGCTTTAGCCGACGAAACAAGGCTTACTTTATCAACAGTTATCACAGTTTTTTTATCTATGTTATCTCTTTACCTGGTGAACACATACTTCTAGGTGGAAATGCTAGCTTCCCTTTCGTCTGTACAATTAGCGAGTGCAAACTGTTGTCATTGAAAGGCAATCTACCACACACCATGGCAAATAAAATAACACCCCTGCAAAATAAAGGAAACACTTGATACAAAATAAATTGAAAAATTTTGAATATACGCACTGAACCTGACTACCTACCTTATTTCCGGGATCGCCACCGGAAGTAAGCGATATGGAGAACTCACATTAAGCTATGTAGTACTTACATGCTCCACACGTCTGCACATTTTCCGTCGTATTTCTGCGCCTGCAGTATTTCAGGGGCAGCGTATGCGTACGATCCACAAAAAGTCGAGAGTAGTTTACACTTGTTAGTGGGATAACGAGTGGCAAATCCAAAATCTGATGGACAATAAAACAGATGAGGTCTGAAATAAAGACTGCAATGAACTGACTAATACTGCAATTCACCATGCTAGCAGCACTTGACTAGAAGTGTGCAGTGTTGTTGATACTCAATAGTATTCCCAATCTAAGCTATTTTTAACTCCGTTAATCCGGTCATCAACGGGCCTCAAAAATCCGACCGTACTAAAGGGGTGGCCGTACGTATTAAAGGGTTCTTTAAATAAGAAAATTGCTGACTGAGCTTTTGTTTGAGCCAGAATAAACAGGCCGTAATAACGATGTGGTCGTATTAACGAGGTGGTTGAAAGGCGGGGTTCCACTGTACTTCACTGGCTTTGGATGCTTCGTCGACTGCCAGGGTTTTGGACGTGTAAATTGTTTTTACAGCTCTAAATTAAACTTATAAATGCAAGATCGTTGCTGTGTAGATGATATTTCTATGATAACTGTATTAACACCGAACATACCTGATACTTTTACGATTTTGTCTTGATCAAGCAAGATGTTCTCGCATTTAAGATCCCTGCAAGAGCGATTTTAAAACATCGATACACGTTAATTCTCTTTATATTTTATGAATAAAGGATTGAGTTCGTTGTCCCTGTCACGTCATTTTGTAGCTCTAATTATGAAGAATTACACAAAGCTTCAATTTACAAGTTGGCATTTATCGTTTTCCGATGCAATTACCTCTCTACTGAGCTCTTGAAAAAAGTTGAAGGGTAAGAGGTCTTAATATAATTTCGATTCTTTAATTTTACTAGGGTAAGTCATTCACTGTTTCTTGTGTACCTTCTAAGGTATTTTTACACACGATATAATGTCTTCGTATTTTCTGCTTGTATTACGAGTTCTTTACGTATTTACTCACATGTTCTCTACATATCAAAGTGTTACTATGGTTTATCTGACCTGTGCACGACATTTCTCCGATGACAGTGTGCCACACCCTCGGCCAGCTGTCTAAACAGGCTTTTAGCCAACTCTTCACCAACCCCTATTCCTCTCCTTGATCGCGCGTTAATATAATCCAGCAAGTCGCCTCCAGAAGCGTACTCCATTACAAGATAAATCTTTGTATCTGTGTGAAATGTTTCGTAAAGTTGAATCTGGGAAAGGAATTGTGAGATTATCAAAACGAGTGAAGTACAACTGACAAAAACGCTGCAACTCCTCCCTTCCCCCCCCCCCCCCCCCCCCCCCCCCCCC